GTGACTAAACTGACTGCTATTTAAACACCCACCCCCCTACACACTCTTCACAATTCTGTCATTGTTATGCTAAACTCTCTGATAGTTTGCACTTGTTTACTCATATTTTGTTTTATCTTTTAAAATTTTGTTTTTAAAAATGAGTGCAAATTCTGATACTATTCGTGTCGTTCTATATTTTAACGGTAGGAAAGAAGAAGGTCGTCGTGGTGTTATTTTTGTAGGGGAGAAAAGGCCATCACGTATTAAACGAAACTCAATGGTTGCTGAGCTGCATCAGAAAATACGTCAAAAATTATGTCTTCAAGACAACCAATTGATCACTCTTGTCACGGCAAGGTTATGGCAACGTGAACAATACATTAGCTTGCAAGTGGTCGATGACGAAGACATCGATATGGTAATGAAAGAGTTCTTGAACCAGTGTAGAAAGGATTTCTTAGAGTTGTATGTGGATACTACAACCGCGGAGGAAGTTGTCATACCAATGAGGTCAGTTAGGTCTACTTCTCCTCTTAATGCATCATCATCTGATGTTCCTGTTGTTCCTGTTGTTCCTGCTGTTAACATGTCTGAGGAAGATGAACATGACCCTACTTGGGTTATGGATGAGGAGTATGACGAAGATGATGAGGAAGATATTGCAATAGAGGACCGTCTTCTTTTAGAGGATGCATGTGCATCGGACAATGACGAAGAATGTGGCAGGTCTGGTACTGAACTTCAACCAGTGCATGATTTGGGGGAGTCTCGTATCGTTGTACATCATGGCACAACATCGAGTCAAGTACCAGAACATCCTGAAGGTATGCTATCAATTAATATACTGACAGTTTGGTTGTTGCAATTTTTGATTAAGAAAATAATTCAATTCTACTATTATTATTACGTAGTACATGTAGGCGATGCACCTGTTGATCCTTTTTGGTCAGAAATTCCACATTACACATATATTGATTGGGATTATCTGAGTGAGGCACAATCATGGACGCAGAGTTCGGGTTTAATCCAGGGTCCTTGGCAATTGGGAGAAAAGTTGTTTGTTAACCAACAATTTACATCCAAAAAAGAGGCTCAGATGGCAATCAAGCGCTACCTCATGAAGGAGCATCAAGAAGCAATTGTGGTTGAGAGCACTCCCACAAAATTAAGCATGAAATGTTGTGCACACGTCCAAGGTTGCCCGTGGAGGGTCAGGGTAATTAAACAAACGTATGGTGAAAATTGGAAGGTGACGAAATGGGGTGGAAGCACAATTGCTTGAATGACCATATTTCTCAAGATCATCGACAACTTGATTCTGACGTTATTGCAGCACTTGTAGTAGGTACGTAATTTCAAATTAAAAAGCTGATTAAAATTGCAGTTGATATACTTGTTGTTCTGTTAATGTTTATATTCAGCTTTTGTGATTCAGAGATGATAAAAAAGGAACCTTCAGTGGCCATTTCGCTCATTCGGGAGAGGATAACGCATTCATATGGATTCAAAGTTTCATATCGAAAGGCATGGTATGCGAAGCAGAAAGCAATGGCAATGTTATATGGTGATTGGGAGGAGTCCTATGCATTTTTACCCAACTGGTGTGAATATATGCTTCGTTTTTCACCAGGTTCCTTTTACAATATTCAAACAAAGGATTGTTTTGTTGGGGGCCAGTTGGTTACTGGAAAACGTGTATTTGTTCGTTGTTTCTGGACTTTCAGACAATGTTGCGAGGCATTTAAATTTTGCAAACCAATGATACAAATTGATGGCACTCATCTATACGGGAAATATAAGGGAAAGTTATTGATTGCCACAGCTCAAGATGGTAATAATGAATGTGTGCCACTTGCATTTGCCGTTGTTGAGGGTGAGACATTGGAGGCTTGGTCATACTTCCTTGCCAATCTTCGTCAGCACGTCACTCAAGCGGATAATATATGTCTAATTTCAGACCGGCATGTTAGCATATTATCGGCTGTTGAAAATAATCCCTTATGGCAGCCACCCCATGCATTTCATGTGTTTTGTCTGCGACATGTTGCAAGCAATTTTAATCAACGATTTAGAAATGACAAATTGAAGGCTAGCCTGATGAATATAGGTATGTTGCACACTATGATTGGTGGATTAAATAATTGTAGTTTTTTCGTTAAGCGTCAACTATGTGTGTTTTTTAAATTAATCGCAGGATATACTGAACAACTGAACAACTGATTTGTTTACTCCTTGTATGGTAATAGAAAAATTCAAAAAATAGTCCACAATAGTCATCGATACCACAGTACACAATTACAACAGCCTTAAAAAAACAGTCAATACATCAGTCCATGTAACTAAACAAAAAAACAGTCAATACATCAGTCCATGTAACTAAACAAAAAAACAGTCAATACATCAGTCCATGTAACTAAACAAAGAAACAGTCAATACATCAGTCAATACATGAAATAAAACTAGGACCAACGAGGCCATGGCCTATCACGTGCCTGACGTGGGGGTAATCGACGCCTAGACTGAGCCTCTATAGCCTGTGCAAATGCGTCAAGACATTGCTCCTCGTCGTCAACCGCCTCTGGAACATGAGCGGGTGGAGTCGTGCAAGCTATGCCAGGAGAAGAAGCAACATATCCACCACTCGCAGATGGTATAAAATCATGCTGTGCACTAACATGTGTAGGCCAATCGCCTACTCCGTCTGTGGTCAAGTCCAAGGTCTGGCACCACTCCGTAACGTCTTCCATATTCCACTCCTGATACTCTGTACCACAGGATGGATCCTGAGACACCGGTACCCCACCAGATGCGCATGCCATGGGGCTAGCCTGATAAACCTGCTCACTCTGTGTAAACCCCTGGCAATACGATGGACCTGGCTGGCTATCATAATACTGCGGCGGAGGAGGACCATGGTACATAGGCTCTGGCCCGCCTGCTTGGCTCAGCACTGGCGGTCTAAACCAACCCTGCATATCAGTGCGCGGTCTAGGAGCAATAATAGGCTCGGGTATAGCTCGAACCGATTCCCGCTGTCGTCCTAGTCCACGCCCCTCCTGCCTGCCACTAGGCACCTCAATGGTCAACATCGGCTCCTCAACAGTCTGCGTAGGTGGAGCCTCTGGCCTTGGCTCCTCTACTCGTGCCGACTCTCTGAATAAGGCAATAATGCGACCAATCTCGTCATGGACCCACTCTAAGCCAAAGGCGGGGAACTGATCCGCAGTAGTCGCAAAATATAGCATCTCCAACCCATCAATCTATAAAGAAATGAAACAACATGATATGATTAAAAATTTATAAACACATAATCATATTCATAATTGAAGTGTCAAAACTTACTGCTCGTCCAACCCTGGCAGCTTTCCTGGCGACAAACCGTTTCCCTCGCTGTCTGTACCAGTGTAGGTACTCATGGTTCGGGGACATCAACCCGACCAGTGCAGGGGGAATACGTATGGACGTATCCCTGATCGTCCATCGATGTATGAAGGGCCTCAACTTACGCTCCCAATTATCATCCTTCTTCCCTCGCAGAGTTAGATCATGAACACCCTTAAGCTTTCTTGGTCTCCGCGGTATGGGCTGATCAAAACCAAATTGTCGCATACATCGATTCGGTTGAGCGTACTCAACTGTGTGGAAGCAAATGATAGGAGTAATGGCCAACCATAAGTACCGCTCATGATCAGATACAAACAATGCCGTATGGTACTCTCCGTATAGCTCCCACACAACCTACATATAAAAAAATTAGTAATTCAGAAAACACCATTACCACCAACTATAATATGTAAATAAATAAAAAACAATTAATAATAGATATCACAAACCTCGTCTCTATAAAGCGTGTCAAGGTTTGCCCGATACCAAGACTGCTCATGTGGCTTAAAGGGAGGTAGGGAATTAAACCTGTAATGGAATGTGTAAACCATTATCATACTCATTCAACAAATGAACATGTAATAAATTAGTCAATATGAGTTAATAAAATATACCTGTGACCAAAATGCCACTCCGGGTGGGTAGGCTGCGGGATAGGTGGTGCAATGGGGGGGAATTAATATTGCATACGTTATTCATTCGTCTTTAACCCTAATTATAATGTGGTTAATTGAAAGGTCAATATGTTTGCAAGTGTCATTCATAAAAAAAAATTAATTGTCACAAACTAATTTCTAAGTGTGTAAATAAGTCATAAAACCAACATATACCAATTTAGAAGTAACTAATTAATTTGTAAGTCCATATAATATATAAGTCACATCACAATCTTACATAGGTCACTAATATTTTTCTAACCCCCATAACAATTAAATAAAGTCACAAATATTTTTCTAACCCCCTAACAATTAAATAAAGTCACAAATATTTTTCTAACCCCCTAACAATTATCTAAGTCGCTAATAACTATCATATATTAATTGCTGTTAATAAAAAAAATAAACAATAAATAGGGACTTAGATGAGAGAGAGACAGAGCTTTGCTGCGCAAAATCCTCCAAAAGAAATTTAGAGAGAAGGAGGAGGAGGAGGTTTAGAGAGAGGATGGGAGGGTGGAAATGAGGTAAAAAAGTGAAAAACGGATTTATATACACCGCGGATAACACGCCATATCGTGGGCATGTCTCTCTCCTGGAACACGCCCTTCCTTTGCCGTGTTTGCTTCATAGCTCACGCCCTATCCTAGGCGTGTCTCTCTCCTGCCACACACGCCCTACCTTGGGCGTGTTTCTTTCACAAGCTCACGCCCCACATGGGCGTGTCTCTCTCCATCAGAACACGCCCTATGTGGACGTGTTTGGGTGCTATAGATTCGTAATTTTTTACAAAACGACAACTTATTCGTAATTTTTTATTAAAAAAGTAATAAATTAATTTTTTTTGCCATCTAACTGTGCCCAAAATTATGTCGTTTAAATCAAAACTAAATCGAGAAATCTCCATGCTTCATTGTTTTTTTAATCATTTGTTCTTAGCGGTGCAATGAGTTGTGGTGAACCGCTGAATAACAGGCGCTGAAAATATTCAACTGCGAAACGAGAAACTCTAAACGAAACGTTTCGTTTCGCCCTCGAAACCAAAACTCGAAGAAGCATACACAGAGACTCGCCATCATCTTCTACACAAATTAATCCCTACCCATTTATTGACTCTAAATGCTTCAAAATCAAATTTCACTGTCAACACATTCACTTCAACTCTACCCAACGATTCATCAACGTACAAAACTTTTTCTATAAACAAAAAAATATAAATTATAAACAAAAATTTGATTTTTCATGCCATTTCTGCTGCGTCCTCGTCGATCTTGCGCTTTTTCATAACCTGAGGGGTTTTCGGATTCCGGTTTCGAAGAAAGTTGCGATTTTGGATCGTGGGTATTGGGATTTGGATTGGAGGGGAAAGATGAGTAACCAGAGGAAGAAGAATTTTCAGATAGAGGCGTTTAAGCACAGGGTGGTGATGGATCCTAAATACGCCGACAAGACATGGAAGATTCTGGAACATGCGATTCACGAGATTTATAACCACAACGCCAGTGGTCTTAGTTTTGAAGAACTTTACAGGTTCCCCACTTTCTTTCTTTCTTTCTTTTTTCTTTTTTTTTTTTCATTTCTTCTCATGATTACCCTTAATTTTGGGTTTTTCTTCGTTTGTTGGGAAAACTTGTTTACATGATATGAATCTGTTTGATTATGCAATATTGATGGATGTATTATCTTGTTATGGTTCGGAGTTCATTTGGTGATTAGAAATCTGCAATTTTTTTTTTAATTTTTTTTTTTTTTGATAACAATTTTTTTTTTTTTTTTTTTTTTTTTAATTTTATATATGGGGGTACTGCTCATTTCATTTGAGGTTTTTGGATTATTCAATTTGGAGAAAGAAAGCGAATTCTATCAGTTTCTGGGTTTGCTTTTCATGGGTTGTATGTAGATTAAGGTATTTTCTATGGCTTGTGAATATGCACATTTGGAAATTTTATTAAGTCTATGACGGAACTGTTTAATTTGTTGAGTTTATTTATGCGGGAATTGCTGTGGGTAGCGTATCCATATACCTGAGAAAGCCTAATTGTGCGAAATATTTTGGTGGTGGGAATCAGCTACTATGATGTTGCAATTAATTGTTCTAGTAGTTCATTGCTTCATTTGTACCACATGTTATCTACCTTATCAACTCTTTGTGTTCTTCTGTTGTCCTGTAATTAGATTCATCATCTTCTTTTTCATTGGTTTTTTTTTTTAAGCATTCTTTTTGGTCCTATAATCTTTTCTTCATGAGAATTAGCTCTAAGAGCTCATCAACTGAACAATAAAGCATTTTGCTTAGCTTAAATTCTGTATTGGTTAAGTGATAACTTACTAGGATATAATAAGATGTACAGACATACATCTTTGGAAAGAAAAACGGTCAACATGTGTGTTTATGACAAATGTGTTGTAGATGTTTGGCAATGTCAACGGGGCTTAATGATGATAACGCCATAACGGATCCTTCTGTTAAGGCTAAAGAGTATAAAAAAAGAGTGATCTATCAGGATTTAGTATGAAAATAAAGAGTGATCTGTCAGAATTTACATCAATTTATGAAACTAATTCATTTTATTTGTTATGAAATTTAGCCAGAGTAGTAGTTAATAGTGGCTGGATTGGTTGCTATCATGCTGGAGCTTCCTCGCTCCTATACACTCAGAGTGGAGCATTTCAGCATGGAGCACCTCAAAAATGGGTATTCGTGGCCTACAAGAGCAGAAAATAATTGTAGCTGATATGTGGTGAACATAATAAGGCTAAGGTTGATGAGTGGGACAAACAATAAAAAGATAAGATTACGAATGAATGTAATGGGAAGAAAGTTTGAGTGTCAGCTATTGACTGAAACTTGCCTGATCTAGTTTGATTATGTGAGAAGAAGCTAATAGAGGTGCCAATAAGAAAAATGAATGAAATAGATATAGTCTGATTAAAATTGGCACTAGATGACGATGAAAGATATAAAATTATAGAGAAAGTGAAAAACCATTAAAAAGACCTTGCTCTAAATGGTTTTACTGAAAATTTGGTTTTTGATAGATTCCAATGGTGTTAATTGATCAATGTGGCTGATCCAACCAGTGTGACTAGGCTTGGTTGTTGTATTTTTTATTTTAAGAGGTTTTTCAAATAATAGATATGCAAACTGTAGTTGGATATTTGTTGGAGTTTGTAGCCATATCTCCTTTAGTATCTCTCCTTGATTAACCAGCTTCTACATTACTGAACTAATGAATTCTTTTTGGCATATAAGATGAATTTGGCATGGGAAATTTCTTTTGGACATGTAGACATCAAAGGATCTTATGCTTTATTTGTTTTTCATTCCCCGAGGGAAAATAGATCCTATGTTTCTAATCCTATTTCTATTCATGTGTCGATTTAGAAATGCATACAGTATGGTGCTTCACAAATTTGGTGAGAAGCTTTACTCCGAACTGGTTGCGACCATGACTGCACATCTCAAAGATATAGCTCAATCTGTTGAGGCTGCTCAAGGAGGTTCTTTTTTGGAAGAATTGAACAGGAAATGGAATGATCATAATAAGGCATTACAAATGATTAGAGACATACTGATGTACATGGATAGGACTTACATCCCAAGCACCCAGAAGACTCCTGTTCATGAACTTGGACTGAACCTGTGGAGAGAAAATGTCATTTATTCCAGCCAGATCAGGACTCGGCTATTGAATATGCTTCTGGAATTAGTACATAGTGAACGCACTGGGGAAGTTATTGATAGAGGGATAATGAGAAATATAACAAAGATGCTAATGGATTTAGGACCATCTGTTTATGGGCAAGAATTTGAGACCAATTTTCTTCAAGTTTCAGCTGAGTTCTACCGGGTAGAATCCCAGAAATTCATTGAGTGTTGTGATTGCGGTGATTATCTGAAGAAGGCTGAGAGGCGTCTGAATGAGGAAATGGATAGAGTGAGTCATTACTTGGATCCCAGGTCTGAAAAGAAGATTACTAGTGTGGTGGAGAAGGAGATGATTGAAAATCACATGCTTAGATTAATCCATATGGAGAATTCTGGCTTAGTACACATGCTTTGTGATGATAAATATGAAGATTTGGGTAGAATGTATAACTTATTCTGTCGTGTTACTGATGGTCTCTCAAAAATACGAGAAGTGATGACTTCACACATAAGAGAGTCTGGAAAACAGCTTGTTACTGATCCTGAAAGGTTGAAGGATCCGGTTGAATTTGTGCAGAGGCTCTTAGATGAGAAAGATAAATATGACAAGATTATAAACTTGGCATTTAACAATGACAAGTCTTTCCAGAATGCTTTGAACTCCTCGTTTGAATATTTCATTAACTTGAATCTTCGTTCTCCGGAGTTTATTTCACTATTTGTGGATGATAAACTTCGGAAAGGTCTGAAAGGGGTTAGTGAGGATGATGTAGAGGTTACTCTTGACAAAGTGATGATGCTATTCCGATACTTACAAGAAAAAGATGTTTTTGAGAAGTATTATAAACAGCATCTGGCAAAGCGGCTTTTGTCTGGAAAGACTGTTTCTGATGATGCAGAGAGAAGTCTCATAGTTAAGCTCAAGACAGAATGCGGTTACCAATTTACATCTAAATTAGAGGGAATGTTTACAGACATGAAAACGTCTCAGGACACAATGCAGGGCTTTTATGCCAGCCACCCTGAACTAGGTGATGGTCCTACACTTACTGTACAAGTTCTTACCACAGGGTCTTGGCCAACTCAGTCTAGTATTACATGCAACCTTCCAGCTGAAATGTCTGCACTTTGTGATAAGTTTAGGTCATATTACCTTGGCACTCATACTGGCAGGAGATTGTCCTGGCAAACTAACATGGGCACTGCAGACTTAAAAGCAACCTTTGGGAAGGGTCAGAAGCATGAGTTAAATGTCTCTACTTACCAAATGTGCGTCCTCATGCTGTTTAATAATGCTGATACACTTAGCTACAAGGAGATTGAGCAATCAACTGAGATTCCGGCCTCAGATCTTAAGAGATGCCTGCAATCATTGGCTTTAGTTAAGGGAAGAAATGTCCTTAGAAAGGAGCCTATGAGTAAAGATGTTGGTGAGGATGATACTTTCTTTGTTAATGACAAGTTCAGTAGCAAACTATACAAGGTAAAAATAGGAACTGTTGTTGCACAAAAGGAATCAGAACCTGAGAAACAGGAAACTCGGCAGAGAGTGGAGGAGGACAGGAAGCCCCAGATTGAAGCAGCAATAGTGAGGATCATGAAATCTAGGAAGCAACTTGATCATAACAATCTTATAGCTGAGGTTACAAAGCAGTTGCAATCGCGCTTCCTGGCAAATCCAACGGAGGTCAAGAAACGGATTGAGTCTCTCATTGAACGGGACTTTTTGGAGAGGGATGATAGTGACAGAAAGTTGTATCGATATCTTGCCTAGAATTGGTAAACTTGTTTCAGTTATCACAGTGATACAGGTATTGTTGTATCTTATGAACTAGATGAATTAAATTACCTTTGAATAGCCTCATTGATTTTAATGTATATTGATTTGTTTTCCTGTTCGTTGTGATGTTCCATCCAAATATATAGATTATCCTGGTAACATTTTTGTTCATAGCCGTGAGATATAAAATTCTTCTATTCAAAATGTGTAAACTATAATTTTGATCACATCAATATAGTCCACGAAAGACAAGTGAATAATTGAAATTGATTCAGCCCTCAAAAAGGTGTAAAATGACTTCCTATAAAAGTGTAAAACAATTGATTTAAACTTAGTTCCTAAAGAAAAAGAATGACATTAAATCATATTTCTCCATCTCACAATTTATACGTATCAATGATTTCAATGTCATTTTGTATGATTGAGAAACTAAATCGATGAATATAAATTGATCTCCCATATTTTTTAGAAATCTAAACATGCATCAAAATGTTAACTCGAACTTTGAGAAGCAAAATGGATGTGAACTCAAATCAAATTTTACATACGTGCTTTAATAATCTTGTTATATCATGGCTAGCTTCACTTGAATGTGTATTAAGGTAATTGTTACTTTAGGCCTTTGTCGATTTTTTCTTTATTTTATTATGACTCCGTGTTTGAGTAGCATTAAGTCATGAGAAAGATTAAAAAATTTAAAAAAATAAAGAGAAAGAGTGAAATGACATATCTAGGTCATGGAAGACAGGTTTGTCTATCATCCAATGCAGGATGAGAAGGAAGTTTAGCTCTTTAGCATTTTGGTGTGGATATTAAAATTATAATTTCTTAGTACCTATTGAGATGTCGGAGACAACACTGCCAAAAAGAACAGTGCAACAGAAAACAGACATGAGGGATGTCAAATAGACTATAAAGCTGTTTAAATGGGGTCAGCATCAATGACTGCATTTTAGGCATGGAGCACGAGACGAAGTGATTATTTTTGTTGGATTAGTTATGTTACCCTTATAAAAGCCATTCCACCAGCATGGTTTGGCAAAGCAGCACCATAAATTGGTTAAGAGATATATCTTGAGGCAATTCAATAGATATATATAACTCATTTGACAATGGCATTGAAATCAGCATTCTCAGTCACATTCTTCTCCTTAATCTTTTTAGCACTAGCAAATGGTTCTAATGCTGGCAAAATTGCAATCTTCTGAGGCCAGAATGGTAAGGAGGGCACGCTGGCTGAGGCTTGTGACACAGGGAACTGTGATTATGTGATCGTAGCCTTTCTGCCAGCCTTTGGTAATGGCCAGACTCCTATGATTAATCTAGCTGGTCATTGTGATCCATACAATGATGGGTGCACTGGCTTAAGCTCTGACATTGAGTCCTGTCAAGCCAAAGGCATCAAGGTGTTGTTGTCTATAGGAGGAGGTGCTGGAAGCTACTCAATTGCATCAACTCAGGATGCAAATCAAGTAGCCACTTAACTTTGGAATAACTTATAGGGGGCACAGTCATCATCTCGTCAACTTGGCCCTGCTGTTCTTGATGGCATTGATTTTTTACATTGAAGGAGGATCAAACCAACGTTGGGGTGATCTTGCTAGGCTCCTTAAACGCTACGGTATTGTCAAGAAAGGCAAGAAGGTTTACATAACTGCAGCCCCTCAGTGCCCATTTCCTGATGCTTGGATAGGAAATGCTCTCACAACAGGTCTTTTTTATTATGTTTGGGTTCAATTTTACAACAACCCTCCTTGCCAATACACATCTGGGGAAATTAGCAACCTTGAAGATGCATGGAAGCAGTGGATATCAAGTATGTATCCCTGCTAACAAGATATTCCTGGGGCTACCAGCTTCCATGGAGGCAGCAGGCAGTGGTTTCATTCCTGCAACTGATCTTACTTCCAATGTGCTTCCAGCCATTAAAAGTTCTGCTAAATATGGTGGTGTTATGCTGTGGTCTAGGTATTATGATGCTCAAAGTGGGTATAGCTCCTCCATCAAGAGCCATGTGTAATGTCCATACTCATTTACTAGTAGTATGTAATATGTAATATTTACTCGTTAGTGGTGCACGTTCAAATATTTATGCCTATAATGTAATATGTTTCGTTCAAATGAGTATCTAAGAAAGTAGATTATATGTTAATAATATATAAGAAATCACTCCTCGTTAAATCGACTAACTAGGATAAGGGTTAAGGCAATCTCAATATACAGCTTTATCCTTGTATATTTGTAAAGAGATTATTTTCTAAATTGAAACATAAGACATTTTATAATGGTTTTATGTACACAAATTACTAGCAAGTTTATAAAAATAGTCAGGCTTTTATCTGAATAAAAGGAATCTGACCAAAGTTTTGTTTACAGAGATTATCACCACTCAAGAATATCACACATCTTCTTTTAGCCCCCAACGTATGCTAGAGAACTGCCATAGAGCGAGGTCAATATTTGGTCTAAAGAATATGTGCATTATTTAGTAGTCGGGATTCCATTGGTTTTTAATTTATTCTATTTCTACATCTGGTAGTCTACATTGTCTGCTAATGCCCTTGGCTTCGACATACAACTTCATAAAACTGAACAATAAGGTTAAGAGTAGCAACGAATATGAAATTTTCTGGTGTTAATATAGGAGCTTTGTATAATTTGGTAAAGTGCTAAATATGTTTTCTTCCCGAAGTTTTGCTACTTCATTGGTTTTTTTTCCGAAGCCAGAAATGCATGGATTCCTGCTATTCATAAGCTGTGGCAGGGCATTACGAACAAGTTGCTATAGTTAGTACTTGGTATGTCCAAAGAAGTTAGGTTAAAGCCAAAAGCCTGAACCCATTTTGCATGTCAAATTCCACAATGGACAAGACTTCATACTACAGAATAAATAAGCATTTCTACACTCATTAAAGCAAGCTGTTCAATAGATCTGGAGAACTTTTCATGCAATAGTTAAATCATGAAAGAAGAACTATATATTCAAAAAGATGTAATTCATATAACGGCTATGCATAAAAGCAGTTAATTTATTTGGTATGAGGACACGTTACAAAAAGAAAATTCCTCATTAACCAAAAACTTAATAAAATGAAAGGCATTTACTGTTTTTATGTCATGCCAGACTTGTAACTTGTTACATGTTACACAAATAAGGGGAAGAAAAAAAAACACTAATCTTACATGTTAGCAAAATCACCTCTTCCACCAAACTAAACTCAAAACACGAGGAAGCTGAACAAACTAAAACCTTGATCAACTTGCCTTTCCCTCATAAAGAACTTCCATTGAACCCCATAATGGAGTTAAAAATCGTTGGCCACAAATACAATTATGCACCCGCAATCATTCTTCAGCTGTGGCCACAAGAAGAATAAGAATCCACCGTGCTGCAAGTAATTGAGTTTGCCTCTCTCTGATCCAGCTTAAAACATACATTAACGTTGAGGCTAGCCAAGCTGGAAGTGACCTCAAATATTTACCTTTGCCTTCAGTGTGTATCCCTTTACATATCACATATGTATAATCAGCAGCTTGGATAAGCAAGAAGATCAAGAGTGTGCTTGGATGGAAGGTGAAAAATAAAGAGACTAAAAATTAAAAGGTTCTGAGTTTCATGGAATGAAAAGAAGGTACATCCCATTTTACACCGTTTCTCAATTTTGTTGTACCAAGCAAGTGTCAAATGATTTTCATAACAAATCTTCAACTATTTCAATTTCCATTTCCCCACTTTCAGTTGTAATAAGGCAGGCCCTAATTTGGATGATATAAAGGTATCCAAGGAGGGCCCGTTCATATTCAAAATTCAAGCAACATTCAAGCAACGGATACAACTTTAAATAAACCACTCCCCGCCAAACCTCAAATAGCAAGGGTGGCGTAAGAGTAATACTTGTACGCAGCCTTGCCTTTGCATATTTATAAAGAGGCTATTTACCGGATTCAAACCTATAATCTTTCAACCACTAAGGAGCAATTTTACCACTGCTCTAAACACATTCAACTTTAAATGGCATTACAAAATTGATGATATAGTCTCTCTAGTCATATTTACTTGAGTGAGCTAACTCATCAAAGAAGACAGTTAGTAATACCATATAAAGAATAATAGAATCATCATATTCTTATGATGGCACTAAAAAAAATAAAAAATGGACCTAACAGTTTACGGTCAAGTGAGAACAAAAGGCACCTTAAAGAGCTGGAACTGATCAAGCAGTATCAGGCGGAGATGGAACTGCCCTGTGCCGGAATAGCTTCACTAATGCTCTGCGTTCACAATCCTGCATATATTGATAATGAACATACTTTTTCATTTGCTCTAACAATATGGATGCCTTTGAAGCAACAACCACTAGAAAAGAAAAAAATAAGAATAGAACAAAAACTTTCAGCTAAATAAGAAAATGTCGCTCTTTCATTTTGATTAATGAGAGGAAAGGAGAGGAAGAAGCCTGTCTGCATCACTTATGAAGGTGACAGAACAATATGACCATTATGTACGCCAGACTCCAAAAACCTATGGGACTTGCAAAGGCTCAAAATTAAGACAATCAAGACGTTTTACAAGTAACCATTTTTTCTAAATTAGTTGCTTTTTTTTCAACTGAAAGGTCATGGATTCTAATCCAAGAAACAGCCTCAGCATACAAAGTTCTTTTCACCCATACCCTTGAAAGTTGGGGTTTCATGGGCAGTTGTGAATTAGAATTTTTTTTTTTTTTAAATTACAAAAATTTATATTTATTCAAGGCGAAGGTAGATTGTTAAGTAGCAGTCAAGCAGGGCTTGTCCAATCCAAACAGAAAAAGTCCCTTGAATAATAGGCCTTTCAATGGAGATCACAGAATACATGCAAAATAAGTATTGACCAATATATATACACATGTAAAAACGAATTTTGAGTAAAAATTCACCTTGAACATGTATAGGTGGAATGGTCTCTCAGGATTCGTTCTCCTGAATTTCAGATAAGTATAAGCAAAGCTTAGTTGATCACGAGATGTAAATCGATCAACTTCATTGAACCAAAGACAAGAAAATAAATTTGACATTGGTGTATGTGCCCTGACTATGAAGGAACCTTCAGGAACATCTGCAAGGTGAAAGACTCGACAATTAATTGTATTATGCACAAGCAGACCCAACAAAAATTCCATAATGAACAAAGATGCAAAGGAGACGCACGACTTGGAAGAAGATTATTTGGGTTTGATGTATCAAACTTGGTGAGGCCATCAGATTGGTAAAAGTGAAACTGTTCATCAATTGCTGTATGGTTGTACTTATTTAAGCGCTTATTTTGGAGTACCTCCTCCCACACACAGTGGCGATCGTAGTGATTTGAAATGGCATATTCAGCCTTCCTCCGCCACAAAAAATATTCAATAATCAGCATAGGGTCAGAATTGAGTCGCATCTTGCTGTCAAGCCAAATTGAATACCTACCAAGCAAGGATTTTCAAACAACATTAAAATGAGGAATAGAAAGCCAAGAAACTCGGATGCTAGAACAGATTGCAAGAACTACCTAGAATTTGGGAAGAGGCGATGTGATAAAAATTTTGGCACCTTGCCAGTTCTCCGCATGTCCTCATATGGCAAGTTTTTTACAATAACTATTTTCCATAGGCCAATGTACCCTCTATCATCAGGACTGTTTCCTTCTAATGAAAGTTTGGACAGTGTTTGATCATCCAAGAACATAACAAAACATACATTGTCCTTTGAATAATGACTGATCTGCAGCAAAGAGGTATATATAAAATTTGCTATATAATTAACATATGCTTTATAAAGCCAACACATAATTCTATCAGCGAAATATCATAATCTCATATAGTCAAGGTTGATACTTAAATTCCACTACTTCATATCATATAATATAGTAAATGTAATTGTTACAATATATTAAAATTATCTCATAATATCTTGATTTTATCATAGAATTGTTGAGAGTACATTAGATGATATCTTAGAAACATTTTCTTTATTTCTTTATATTTCACGATTTATTTCCTCATTTTATTAGGATTTGGAATCTAATATTAGTATAAATATGAATTAGTGTTTGTAGTTTACACCCCATCATCACACATCAAATCAATACCAATTTCATATGATTCCATCTTTATTCTCTCTTTTCTTCCTTCCATACCTAAATCCCTCTAGTTTCAACATGGTTTCAAAGCCTAGTTCCATCCTCCATAACCTGTCTCATCATTGTTCCGCACAAAGCAGCAAAAACTACCTTAAAAGAAATTAAAGAAATTACCAGTCTACTTGTAGGCCTCCGGAGAAAATCGGAGCTTCCAAAAATGCAAGAAGAAACCACAACCTTACAGGTGAACATGTATGCCTTATCTTTTTCATTTAAATCAAATCCAGTGCTTGGATATCCCGGAGGCCCCTTGACAAAACCACAATGAAGTGTCTGGTTTTTCACATAAAATGTTTTTTCTCTTTCTTCTAGAGTCTGATGTCCTCCAAATCGAGGTTCAAATAAATCAGTTTTGAATGTCTTTTCTTCGTGGTCAACATACTCTAGAGAAAACCAAGTGAAGTTCATATAACTCTTGGGTTCAACAAGGCCATCAACTGATTCCAGAAATCCAACTTCACAAGGAAAATCTGAAGGATTGATGTTCCAGGAAATGACAAAGAATCAAGTCAATACTAGAGTCAACTTAGTAAGGAACATATAAATCCAAATAATGCTGATATTTGATAAACAATGTTGATTTAGTCTACAAAATCCAGCATTAAAAAGTTATTTAACTTCCGACTTAAAAAGGTTTTCTTTTTCTTTTTCATGTAATTTTGGAGGCAACAGTTGCATATGAGATGATTATTAGTAAAACAAGGACCAGAAGCATAATCACATTGTGCCAGCAAAACAAATATGATTCACATAACACAGAAACTATTTTGCTTGACTCCAACAAAACTATATCTGCCATTAACCTAGAAATGCTCCACTATCTGTATGACAACATTTTCAAGGTCTTGACGTCTATGCTGCTCATATACTGCTTATTAAACAGTGCAAATTATTCATCCCGTGTCCAATGCTTCTACACTTTCTTTCACTAATGCATTTTTCTGAAAGGGGTTTCTCAATAAATCTTCATTGTAATAAGAGAAATGGGAGGGGTCTAAGCACGGAACTAAAGGTGAAGTTTGACTTCAAATTCATAAAACATAATCTAATGATAAATGAGGGGCAAGGCTATGACTCTTACGCTTCCGCCGCTTGCTTTTGGGTGTCTTTCCATCATCAGATACCAAAATATTTTCTTTTAAATGTAGATTGCGTTCTTCTTGTAGATTGTGTGGTATTGAGAACCTAGATTCCATTTTAGCTGAAACGAAACCAAGAAACACAAACGAAAATTCAGCAAGTTGGATTTTTCTGACACATGACTAACTTTAGGAACTATTTGTATATAACCTTATAAAAACATTTGGAGAAAAGGCCCATGTCTCTGGCCTCACCTTGAAAAAACATTTTCAGGCCATAAACTGTTAAATAAATTGAAAAGAGTGCGGTGAGAAGGAAAACCCAGCGTGAAAGTCTGTGTTTGGTAATCCGACCAAGCCTTCTACCACGACGGAAAACTCTAGAGCCATGAACACTTTTACCAAGAAAATTGAAAACTGCATCAATGATGCTTCTTCTCTCGGGGAACAAATCACCATTGTTTCTATAAAGAGCCATACCAGAGCACGTTCCAAGATTCAGACATAGACTACTAGTTCATCTGCCAAACAAAATAGTTTCCAACTTTTAAGTTTCACCAAAAAGGTAACTGGCAAAAAATGAATCACCCATGTTGCCAACTAATGATCTTGTGCAAACTAAACTCATACAACACAAATCCATGTATCCATAAATAATTAGACACTTAGCTGTTAATGCATGCATTACATTTTACAGCCTACAATTTAAACCAATAATTGTCATAGGGAAGCAGATGTAGATTACAAAATCACAATTAGAATGAGTGGTCATATAATCAAAAGGAAAGCATTCAGGTAAAATACCACTACCTCGTAGCAAAATTTAAATCAAAGAATGAAAGTGATGCAATCACTATCCCAAAAATCCCAATTACTTTGAACATATAACTTCTCATTCACTCAGCACTAACATTCAATTATCCATTGAAATTGAAAGAGTCGAAGGCCGGACATCATCATACACAAACAAAGAACCATACCAAAAAATAAAAAACGTTCATCCCACCCAATAATACAAAAAGAAAAAGAAAAAAGAGAGAGAGATAAAAAAGAGGAAATGTCAAGCTCCAAAGGAGAAATGAAAAGATGGGTAAGCTACAACTTACAGGGATTAACCAAATCAATAATGCAGGACATGGAAGATCTTCCCAAAATGAGATCTTTTTGGGAGGAACAAAAATCAAACAACAACATGATCATTAAAAATGGATTCTTTGAGCAATTGGGTGTTCGAAAAGGGAGAATCAACATGGGTCTGTTGTGTTGGAGGCGAAAAAATGATTTGGTGAGATAGACGATCTATCATGGGTGATGCACCGTCAGAACATAAAAGCAAGTGAAGTGGGTTGCATGAATTATCAATCAAATATCACGATCCGAACTTTGATTATCGCAAAGTTTTCATTTCTTTCTTTCTATTTATTTTATCTTTTTTCTGTTTCGTTTTCTCCCTTCTTTCTTCTTTTTCAGAGCTTTATTTTTTTGACACCGACAGTATAAAAAAGCGTTTTTTATGGCTGAGTGAGTGTCGTCAGTGATTCCTCGATCTATATATGGTAATGTGTTTCATCGGTTACATATACGAGGATGCTTGGTCTCACTTTGTGCTTTCAGTTTTCACTTTGCGTTAATAACCATTATTATGTACATGGGTTTAAGTAGAATCTGTTCGCTTTTTCTAGTGTTATATAATAAGTTTAATATAATGTTGTTTTGAGGCGAAAACTATGGTGTTTTTATAATTTTAATTTATTTCAGGATTATTATAATCTTTATAATTATAATTTTTTAATTTTTTTAATTCTAAAATGACGTTGTTTTAAAAGTAAATGCAAAAAATCAATCTGCATTAATTGCAGAAATATTTTTCTGAAGTATAATTATGGTATTTTTATAATTTTAATTTATTTCAGAATTATTATAATCTTTATAAGTATAATTTTTTAATCATTTAATTCTAAAATGACGTTGTTTTAAAAGTAAATGCAAAAAATCAATCTGCATTAATTGCAGAAATATTTTTCTGAAGTATAATTATGGAGTCAATATTTTTCATATTTTAAGAGATAAAATTATTTTTTATATCTACATAAAAATATATGGGATTCATTTTTTTTTTTCTCCTCCTCATATGAGAAACATTAAATCACAATTATATAGAGGAATTTGTCTTTTATAAGAATTTTTTTAGTGTTTCTAATATTTATAAAAAAGTAATTAGTCTAAATTCATTTATTTTGCCCATTTATGATTTATATATGATTAATGCCTTGTAAATTTATTTATTTTTATTTCTAGTAAAGTAATGAGTTGAGTTTTACTTTTTCTTCTTTTAGATACGTTGACGTTTGACTTCCTATATTATTATTATGAAACTATCTTTGAAAAAAATATTAATAATTAAAATTTTTTATGACTAAAGTATTATAGTTAGTTTTATTAAGAAATCTCTCATCAAATTATTTTTTTATTGATTTCATTACTTTAATTATTCATAAAATAAATATTATACTTTTTTTAAAAGTTAATTAAATGATAAAGTATTTAAAAAATTAAAGTGATGACACATTAATTGTTTTATAGATTAATTTAGTAATAAAAATAAAAAACTACATGGTGAGATATTAGAGAAAGAATATACTTATAATTTATTTTCGTTTACAATCTCTTACAATTATATCTTAATTGTTGATTTTGACCAATTTGACAGTTATAATTTATTGAAAATTAATAATTAATTAATAAATATGATCCAATAAATTATGACTGATAGGTTGACAAAAATCGATAGTTAAGATGTGGTTATAGGAGATTGTAAATAAAAATATATTATAGATATAATATTCCTCGAAATATTAATATTTAAAATAGCATAAGGAGGTTTAGTTTAGTTTAGTATATAAATTTATTATTATTTTTATGCATAAATTATCCTGCATCCTATCCCCAGCAGCACCAACTAATTTGTATTCTAGTCCGAAAGAATCATACAAGGGCATTTAACACAGTGGCATATCCAAAATTCTCAAAGTGAAGATACTGGTTAAACTATAATAATCCTTATCAATTGATCCTTGCATGTGCTTGATAATAAATTTATTATTTTAATTATAATAAGAAAGTTTTGTTTTGCATTTATTAGGTAACATGGGAGAAAGAGTTAAAAGACATGAATGCATTTTTTATGCGGAAATTGCAATTGTGCTGAAGTGTAAATTTTGTATTTATAAATATTAATAGATTTTACATATTTAATACTTGTAAGGAAAGAAATATATACAAAACTACCACATAGCTCTTCTATCAGTTCGATCCTTATCATTTATCAAAACTAGCACTTACATTATCGATGCTGGAAACATTTGCGACTGGACTATTATATGCTTAGTTCTCAATTGGAGAATTCGGTCTCTTGTCGCTAAATTAACACACTTGTACATGGATATACAAATAGAAGCACCTTATTGACTTATAATTTCGACTTAGCTTCCAAAAATCATTATGATGTGGTCCAGGCCAGATGCTGATTTTCGATCAGCACTTGAAAGAATGACAGTTTTGGATTGATGTTTATAAGCGTTATATAGAGATATGAGTATCACCACACAAAAAAAAGAGAGATACGAGTATTGACCGGAAAAAAAAAAACAAGGTTTTAATAGCTCTTTTATTGCTGTAGATGAGAAAATTTGCAGTAATACTTATAAATTCCAGGATCCAGCTCTGTATCTTAGTGTAAACATGTTTGTTACAATTTTTCTCATATACAACAACAGAATAAATGAGAAATCTAAAAAAAAAATTGCATCTTAAATGATAAGAGAGTATAATATAATATAATCTCCTCGAGAGTATAATATAATTTAATATCTATTGAGAAGGTTTATGCATATAAATTCCATGTTACATGTTATTATCACAATTTTTTTATAAGTTTATTTTCACATATTTCTTTTCAATTTATCAAAATCAATTAAATTTTTTTAAAAACATTAAATAAAATCAATCATTTATTTCATTCAAATCTTAAGCAAACTAAGGCCGCCTTCCCATCCATGCTTCAATCATAATAATTTGTTTAATAATATTCATCGGGTAGCATCAACTTATACTAATTAATGTAAATTTAACAAGTCTTACACATATTAATGTATCAAAAGAAAATAAAATGCATTCTTGGGGAGGGGCTGAACCTTTAGCCATTACTGTTCCTCCGCATTCCAGATTAGTCTCATAGCCGGCTCAAAGAGTCGAAGCTCGTGGGGATACCAGAGGGATCCAACTCGTCTCAAAGAGATAATTAGGGTTGGGTAACTCCAAAAAAGAAAAAGAAAATAACATCTAGTCTTTGAACTTTGAACTGATTGCTCGAGCTGGATCTCGATAATACTAGGAGAGGAAATTCAGTGAATATCTCATATTAAGAGAGAATCTATAAAGTAGTAAAAGCTAACCTATACTCATGCTAATGAAACTAAAAAAGACGGTCTATACCAACAAACAGAAAATAAATAAAAGGAAAAAAATATTTCTCCTGAAACAGAAAATAAAATTATTTTTAATAACTCAAAAATTATGTCATTTTAAAAATTGAGAGACTTAATAAATGATATTTTATGAATTTTATTTATTTTTTTGTTATATAAATTTTATTAAAACACCATTCATTAATTCTCTCAACCATAAAAAAGACATAATTTTGAAATTATTGCGATAAACCCAAAAATAAAATTTGGTTTTACATAAAAAGCAATTACTCCTACTAAACAAAAGATATTAATCCTCTAAAAAATAGCAGCACTCTCGTGGAATAGTTTTCTATAGAGCTCAGCCAATAACTTCCCAGGAAGTTGATGAACCTCCTCTTCTTCCCACTTTTGGTTCTTCTTGATGTGCATCTTCTGCTCTTTGTAGCTTTTTCTCTGCTTCCAGTAAAGTTTCTTTCATAATTCTCACCCATTCTTTCTCAATATTTTTTCTCTTGCACTCAACACCATGTTCATCGTATTCAATTATACCAAGGTATTCAAAATCATCACAATCATTTATATAATTAGCATAATCACTGGCATGCAATAATAGTTTTCGATAGAGCTCAGCCGATTCTATTGCAGATGATAGTTTTCCAACTAGTTCAACCTTTTCTTCTTCCCACTTTCTTCTGTCTTCTTGATGTGCATCTTCTACTCTCTGTAGCCTTTTTTCTGTTTCTATCACAGTATCTTTCATTATTCTTAACCATTCATTCTTCGGCTTCTCAAATTTCTCACAACCTTCTTCTTCTCCCGAATCATAATCATCGCTATCATTGTCACCCTGCCAATAACAATATAAAAATAATCTTAATAACACAACAATATAAAAAAAAATAAAATAATCCCCTCACAGAGAAATTTCACAATACCTGATTATGAGAAATCTTTATGTCTATTAATAAAGGAAGTGATATATATACAAAATTTTCACATAACTAAGTCAAATGAGTTTTTTTTTTTAATAA